TGTAATTGAAAAACATAACTATCTAATAAAACGTTCCCCGGCCAAAGAGGTCACCTTAATACCGAAAAAAAAAAAAAAACAAAAGATATATTCCGTCTATCGTTTATTTTTGTTTCTCAATTGCCAGCTATCCAATAGTCCGTTTAACATGTATTGTAGCTCGTTACGATCATTATGATCATCCAGATCTTTTGAAAACATAATCTTTAATATATTCTTAGGCATTTTGCACGTTTTATAACAGCATTAACCGGATGAATTGACCAACTGTAGTTGATCCGATTTTGCTTGACCTGGTTTTGAACTCTAGAAATTATACTGTAGTGAAGATAACTAAAAATGTTTTTATCTAAAATTTTTCTATTATGTTAAATGTAAGTAAATTTTTTTTATTAACTATTTAATTTGAGTAGATACAAGCTTTTTAGTAGTAGAATTCCAAGTTTAATATCTAAATTTGTCAGTTCTTGTAGTGTGTTTGGGTTGGTCAACTGTAAATTGAAGTTTTGGTTTTTATTTTAAAAACTTATTAAATAAACAGGATTGGGTACTCTAAGTAAAAATGTTCAGAATTCTTGAAAATCTTATAAAAACTAAAATTAAAACCCTATATCTAACCTATATTATATTATATATAAAAAAAAAAAAATTCTTAAAAATACACTCAAACTCTAAAAACTATATTAGTGATGATCACCAGTAGTAATATAAAGTAATTATCTTATTAAAATTTTATAAATTTGTAGATTAAAACATGTTTTTTCAAAAAATTAGATTTTTTCTTAAAATTTTTTATAAATAAAAAACAAAAACTTTATAAAAATAATAGTTTTTATAAAGATCAACTTAAAGTTCTTGTTTTTTTTTGTTTTAGTCTACTTTAGGAGACTTCTTTATATATTTAGTATACAAACCAAAAGTATTCTTATACAAAATAACTAACAAAAAGTAGTATTTTTATATAAAAAATTTGAAGAAAATAGCAATACTTTTGCTAATAAAGTTTTTTGTAATAAGTTTACAAATCTGTACAAATTTTTAAATATTATAACATTGAAAATTTTTTAAATACAAATTCTGTGCAGGTTTATAAAAAAATAAATATATCATTATAGCATTATTTAAAATATGGGGGTGAGTCAGTAGAAATCAAGCAAATTTTTTATAATAAAATTTTTTTATAACTTTAAACAAGCTTAATGAAATCTTGACCAAATTTAATAAAAATTTTTTTAAATAATTTTTACTAACTTGTAGAATTAATTTAAAAAAAAATTTATTAAATTTGATGAAGTTTTTGTTAAATTATTCTTGCTTAAAGTTTTAAAAAAACTTATTAAAAAAAATTTGCTTGATTTCTACTGACTCAACCCCATATGTATATGTAATATAATATTTTTAATTAATAAATTTTATTATTTATATATTTATTTATTTATACAATATATATATACAAGTTTTAAAGCTTAATATATAAAATTTTGCCATGCAACATATTTTTAACAACAATAACTTTAATCTTTACTTATCGCTAACTATACAGAGGAGTAACAAAAATAATTCTCTATCTAAGAACTTGGCTTATAACTCAAAAATTTACTAATTAATTTATATCCTTGACTTAACTATAGTAATTCTTACTTCTTGAGAATTATTTCATATCATTTTTAAATCATATGCTTACATAATTACTAAGTTATTTAACTTTATTTTTAGGGTTTTGATAAATTATATAAGTGTCTGTGTTTTTGTATAAATAATTCAATAACTATTGGTTTAATTTTAATGAAATTTTACTAGCTTATAGAAGAACCTTTTCTCTACCTACTGTAAAAATTTAATCAAATTTTAATCAATAATCAACCAAGAAATTAAAAAAAAAACAAAAATTTAATAAATCAAACTTCTAAGCTAATTTTCTTAATAATTATTAATCTAAAATCAACAATTTTTATTTTACCTAATAGATATGCACTTCTTCTACAACATAAAAAAAATTTGGCTAAATCTAATTACTAGTTGCAGAGATAATTGTATATTTCAATTATCTCGACAACCATTTACAGACTTGCTAATTTTTTTTTTTTATTCTGTAAAAGAAACGCAATACTTTAAAATAAAAAAAGTTTTTTTAATTCTAATTACTAGAAGTCGAAATAATCGAGGTTAAAGTTCACTATTAAATTGGCAAGTATTAATTAAAAAGATAAAACTTTAATCTATTTTTAAGTTTATTTTTATTAATTATTATCTTTATAATATGACGATAATACACTTACAAACAGATTTATTTTTATTCGAAAAATTTACTATAAGCTTTCTTCTGTGCTTTCTCTTTAGAAATGAGTTTTTGTTTGGCAACAGTCAATTCTCTAGTAATGGCTGGATCATTTGGATTTAATTTGGCGGCTTCTTGCAAATCTTTAATCGCATCTTCTTCATCTTTCATACCAACTTTAGCACAACCGCGTCTATATAATGCTTTAGCACGGTCTATAGGTGACAACACTTTTTCAGGCATTTCCAGTACTATATTTGTGGCTTGAGCGACATCACCCCACTCGTTCAACTTAAGTGAACATGCAGCTTTGTTTAGGTAGCATGGAATTTTTAATTCATAAAATCCATCAGGAAGGTTTGCTGAATCATCTTCATCATCAGAACCTGAATTCTTATCCAAATATCGAATAGCCTTAGATATAAAATATAATACAAATATTTAATATTTGAGTAAAAAAAAAAAAAATAGAATAAAACAATTATTAATGAAATAAACTCTGTACCTTTGAATATTTCTTGATCGCGATATCATATTGAGACTTTTTGAAATAATCGTTACCGATCTCTTTTAATTTCTTTGCGATCTCAAGCAGATCATTTGGTTCTAAGGTTCCTTCTTGATCCTCTATAAAAATTTATATACAAAGTATAAAAAAAATTTTTAATGATATTTATTATTTATTTAGCATTAAAAATGAAATATTACCAGGCCAGTCTTCATAGATGTCCCCATCTTCTAGTTGTGGTATGCCGTCATCTTCACCTTCCTTTAATTCTCCACAATCAGCAATTTTGATAGTTTTTACTGGAGTCTCTCCTGCAGTATTTACAGCTTCAATGGCACGAACAATGGATTTACCTTTGATTACTTTACCAAAAACCACATGTTTTCCGTCCAAATGATCGGCCTATAAATTGGTCGTAGAAAATAATTTAACATAGTTGATGAGATACAAATGAAGAAATTTATATAAATTTGAAGTAATACTTTATTTGTGGTGATGAAAAATTGGGATCCATTCGTGTTAGGACCGGCATTCGCCATCGACAGGAGAAAGGGTTGTTCATGCTTATATTCAAAAGCCTCATCTAAACATTATTATAAACATTATTATAACATTAACAACGGTTATGTAATTATGACGTATTTTTACATTATTTACCTTCAAATTTTTCACCATAAATGCTTTCACCACCAGTACCATTGGCATTGGTGAAATCACCACCTTGGCACATAAAATTCTACTTTACCAAATAACTAGAATTAGTCTTTTCCATTCATTATCATGTTAAGGTTTTATCAAAAATGTTAATAACCTTAATCACTCGATGAAATATAGAATCTTTATAATGTAATGGTTTTCCTGATGCGCCAATACCCTTTTCTCCTACAAGATAAATCAAGTTCTATTTATAAGATCATGTGATATATCCAATTTCTTACGACCGATTTTTACCTGTACAAAGAGCACGAAAATTTTCTGCAGTTTTTGGTACAACATGATCGAACTGTACATATAATTGTTTTTTATTAGTAATGCTAAAATATTATATATATATTTGAATTCCGAAAGTTATTGAAAATATTTATTATTACCAATTCAAAAACTACTCGGCCTTCGCGCCGACCATCGATATCAATGTCAAAATATGTGCGGATAGGCATGATGCTTTTTTTAAAGAAAGGATGAATAAAGAAATGAGATTTTTTATATTGAATAAATAATTAGATAAAGAATGTGCTAGAACAATTGAGAATACTAAAAATCTAAAAATTGAATCTACTAGAAATCAGAAACTTCCAATAATGTCTGAGATCAACGTTACGTACTACAGTACTAATTGTGGTCACAAAGGACTGCATAACGATAACGATAATCACTTTGAATAGCATTAAAAGGTCTAATCCTAATAACCAACGACCGATTTTCTCTAAAAATAAGACATCTCGGGCATTCCGACCGTCCAGCCAACGTTGGAAGGTCGAAAAAGGAAAGGTGTCATCGGAAGTTAGGGATCGTTGATAAACATTCAATGTTCGACAAATCTTGAGAGTACAAAGCTTATCGTAAATACTCTTTCATTGAAAATATTAGAACACAAGTGTATGACAACCTTTTTAACTTATTTGGGAGAACAATAAATTCCTTATCATATGCAAAAAAAAAATATGACATACGTACGTACGTGGTAAAAGGACTCGAAAGATCAGAATGTAACACGTGATTGTTACACGGCATTAAAGTCCATTTCTATTATAATAATTATTAATTACCAAGAACCTTTTCTCCAATTTGTTTTTTTTTGAAAGAGTAAGAAGATTGCAGAACAGAAATGTCAGAGGCAGACGATCCACTCGTAAACGGGAAAACGCCTTCTACAGAAGGTCGCGATCCGGCTTATTTTTCTTATTATGCCATGCTACAGCATCAGGTGGTTTTCAAGCATTCAAGAACTGTTAGTTCCAACGAGTTAAAGAAAACTCCTGGTGGCCTTGTTAAATAGAGAGTTTTGTTTTAAACAAACAGCAAAATATGCTTCAAGATACTGTACGTACCTCTACTTACCGTTCTGCCATTCTGCTAAATGGCCCTCTATGCTTTCATGAAAAGTTAATTTTGGACGTTGGTGCCGGTTAGTATTCCTTCATTATTAAAATTTATATATTAAATTACACACTAAACCATTTTTTACATACTATATTATCAAAGGCTCGGGAATCTTATCATACTTCGCGGTACAAGCAGGTGCACAGAAGGTATATGCTGTTGAGGCCTCACAAATGGCAGAGAAAATGCGAAAACTTGTTGAGAGCGCAAATACAACAGAGTCTGAAGCCTTAGCTAAGAATGCATTCCTAAAGGATAAAATTGAAGTTATTCAAGGTTTATTTTATATATTTAATCCAGAATTTTATAAATTATCAAGGTATCTCTATTCTTATTCTAATCGTAATATTTTCATAGCCAAGATTGAGGATCCTAACCTTCCGATCCCTCGAGTGGATACCATTATTTCTGAACCAATCGGAGTCCTCTTAATTCATGAAAGAATGGTATGATGAAATGATTACATATTTTAAAATTTTCAAAATTTCAAATATTCAAAATATTCATTTAATTCCACACTCATAACATTAATTAACATTAATATCGTTGAAGCTTGAAAGTTATCTTTATGCACGAGATACTTATTTAAAACCAGGCGGAACTCTATTTCCGTCAACAGGGTCCATATTTCTTGCACCGTTTTCTGATATTGCTTTATGGACTGAGACTATGGGAAAGGCACGTTTTTGGGAACAATCCTCATTTTATGGAGTAGATCTTTCTGCACTTTATCCTGATGCTAAGGATGAAATGTTTGGTAAGTAACGATCTCATATGACGAACTGATTTATCACCACTTTCTTTTTATTTATAATTATTGACCATTGTGATGTAAAGGCATGCCAGTGGTTGGTTGCTTTGATCCACGTACCTTAATCGCACAAGCAAACCCGGGTGGATACGTGGTTGACTTTTATACTATTACATTGGAGGAGCTTCAGGATATGACAATACCTTTCGTCTGGCAGGCTTCTTATACCGGAATTATTCATGGAATAGCTGGATGGTTTGACTTACATTTTTCACCACCACCGTCGGTTTCTAGTGGGAACACAATTGCAATGTCTACTGGACCTGCAGCAGAACGAACTCATTGGCAACAAGTCAGATTCTTATTGAAAGAGCCATTGGCGGTGAATGCAGGTCAAACTATTCAAGGATGGATGAGATGTGTGGTGAATGAAATGAGATCTTATACTATAGAAGCCGAATTAATGGTTGGGGAAGGTCAATTAACAAATCCAACAATACTCTTAACTTCAATATATAATCTGGACTTTAATCGTAGACGTGGTAAATGGAGACTGCACGAACAGACTTATAATTATAATTATTATCCACAATCTGATAATCTTTTTAGACCAGAGTATAATTGCCTTTATGAACCAGAGCACCCTATAGATACCACAGTGGTTGTGGAAAATAATTTTGTTGATGACAACAACAACAATCAATTTATTATGTGATTTAATGATATTATTTCGTTTTTTTTTTTTCTTTTTTTTTTTTTTTTTTTTTTTGTGTTGGTGGGTAACTTTAAACAATCTAAACAGGGGGCTATCCTAAATAGATTAACGTGCATCGTGAGTTAGCTTATATAAGTCTTTTGATAGCATATATTTATATTTTTTCTATATTTAATTATTGATATTACTATACTACAGTACATTATAGATTAGTTATATATTTATTTTCTTTTATGACAAATAAATTATTTAAATGAATTTTAATTAACATTAAACTTTAACCATGACATAATATAACATTTTCCTGATAATAAAGTCACTCCATAACGAAAAACATATATTTAAATATATAAGATTAAATCATCCTATTTGACCGGTATTTTAGTTCTCAATCACTAGTGTTTTTAAGAGTATCACGCAAAATGCAAAGACAATGATACTTCTTATCAAGTCCTAATAAATAATGAAATAAAATTTAATAATCACAAGTAAAAAAAATGGATTACCTTTGATACAAGATTCTTCACCGACTTTTGCAGTTAATAAGATTACAGGATTCAGAATATTCCTTCGCATATTTGGTGGCAACAAATTTGGATTTGTTGTGATTTTTACATAAATATTAGAAATCTCTAATTCATGTCAAAATTTGTTAATCTTTTGATGAAGAATAATATTTATAAATTATGTTTTTTTGTTATGAGAAAAAGAAATTGAGATGATACATAATAATAATGAATGGTTATAGATTATATGATGGTATGAAGCATATATGACTTCTAGAAATAAGTGAATTTGTCTTGAAGCTTAATTGTTCTTGCAAATATTTTACGCAGTATGTACTGTGCCAATAAATTTCATTTTTAGATCATGGTTTTTGAATAATCTTGATAACACCTTGTCAACCCTTTCTGATTTCTTTCTCTTTTTTTTAAATTGGATTTTTTTAGTTTATTTCATTCTTTCTTGCAAAGCATTACTTAGAAGAAACAGGGCTATCATATCTAGTGTTACAAATTGTTAAAATTTTTTCAATTGATTAGTTTAGTATTTATTTTTCCAGTTGACTAGTTTAGTATATATTTATTTTTTCAGTCCAATCAATTGATCGATTAATTGTAAGTTATAACTAATTGATTAAAAATTAAATTTTCAATCGATTAGTTGAAACTAGTGATGCCGACTAAACGTTTTAACATCAAGTTAAAATTGTTAAAATAAAAAAGATATAACTACTGTATAGTTAAAAATATTGATTAAAATTAAACTATCGCTATCTGCTATGATCAAATTACGTAAAAGGCAAACTACAGTATTATAAATTAGAACATCAAAACAATTAACAATTCTTTACTTATCAGAAAATCATATAGGCGTAGCCGGTGATAAAATGATAAACATTCACCGGTAAGCGAAATTTGTACGTACGTACGTCGCTTCTTTGATTAATTCTGAAACCGAATAATAATTTGAGTGCTACTAGCGATTATTTAGCTTCTTAAGCTGATAAATCTAATTGATGAAAAAATTGGAAAATACTATTCTGTCCGATGCAAATATTGTCTTAAGCATTGTCAAAGAGGAATACCAACCGTAATGGAATTACATTTAACAAATGAATGTTCTAATTGTTCAGAGGACATACAAAAATACAGGCAAGATATAATTCATAATCGAAATAATAATTTAAATTCTTATTCATTGTAAATATGCTAAATGAGATGAAAAAAAAAAAGTTACCGTATAGTTCCGAAATTAAGCACCCTTTTTTTGTTATAAGAGGTGCTTATTTTCGGATATAATTTTAAGAATAAATAATATAGAATTTTTGTACTAAGTAACTTGCCTTCTGTTTCTAAGTAAAACAAAAATCATAAAAATTTGCCCAGTAGAACTTTCGCAATTCTCTTCAAAATTTGGGCGACGTTTGTTTACGTTTGCTTTACATGATCTGCATACTCGTAAACAAAAGTCGCACGAACTTTGAAGAGCAATTGTGAGAGTTCTACTGAACCAATTTTGATGATTTTACTGCCATTAAAATCGTCTTGACTTGGCGAATAACTTTACTTAGAAACATAAAGTAGGCTTGCTTGGTAAAAAATCAGTTATGGTTATACATAGGGGTACTTATTTTCGGATATTACATAAAATTTGATGGTGCTTAATTTCGGGGGGTGCTTAATTTCGGAACTATACGGTATTCAAATTGGATTACTAGATGGCAGACAAATTTAATTTTTATTCACAAAATCAACATAGCATTTTATTCATTGTAAAATATGCTCAAATAAATTTTCATTGTTTTATTGCAAGTATAAAACGTTTCAGTTTATATTTTGATGTTTTAATCTAAGCCTCAAAAATATAAATAGTATATATTTTATATTTTTATCAAGTTTTATCACGAGTATAGTCGGCATCACTAATCATTAGTTATTAACAAACTAATTGATTTGTAACACTACTCACATCTAGATCTATGAAAATGATTATTCGTGAATCCATGATAAAATCCACGATCTCTTTGGGATAATGAGTTGAGCAAAATTTCCAAGGCTTTCAAGTAACATGTCAACGTGTTCAATATCAAACAAACAATTTCCAAGGCTTTCAAGTAACATGTCAACGTGTTCAATATCAAACAAACAAGATTTTTGATCACAAAAAAAAATTAATGTTAGGTCAAAATAAATAATAAATCGTCTAAACTATGGATGTACTTAAAGCATCATTTGGTTTGCTTAAATCTATAAAGATTAAATAAAGCCATTTAAGATCATTGCTGTAAAGAATTGTGGTCATTTAATACTATTTACAGTAAGACCTGAAAGATAAATGTTATACCCTAAGTGTTGGTCATGTGATTTTTCTACAGCTCCGATATCTCCAAAAAAATTTGCTATGTTTCGAACAGAGTGCTTGTCCTCATACGTTACTCAAAAGAAATAGTGTAGTCAGAGTATAATACTGTATATATTTGCTGCTTAGATTAGTGATTGAAAGCTATTGATACTGTATTTTTTTAAGTTTAGGGATAACTTAGCATATTAAATTGTCAATTTAGAAAATTATTATATATCTAGAGTAAAATAATTGATAAAAATTATTAAGGCACATAAAAAATTTTTTGTTTCGCATAACACAGCTGGTCATTGAGTCTGAAAAGAAAATTTTAAAATTTGAGACGTCAAATAATTTTACATTATGATGGTTAAATGCTAAAACAAGAAACAAATTACAGTATACGTATTCAAATTCTGAAAATTCTAACATACTGATCTGTAGTAAATTCTTTACTGAATAATAAAATAAATACTGTAGAGAGTAAAATCCATAAATTATGCCATATTTACACAATACCCATATTATTATATTGTTATAACGTCTCTTAAATTTACGTTCTATTTAAATCAATTATAAAACAGCTATAACTGAAAATAAAACAAGGGCATTTATATTGTCTCAATGAGCTATTTTCAAATTGGTTATAGCGTTCGAAGATGTCGGCGATCACATGGTCGCAACTTTTTTTTTGCTACCACTCAAAGTTTACCTGACTTTCAGACGTCTTATTTTACGTATGTTTATTTTTAGGGGAATTTACAAATTAGGGCCCGGAAAGTGAAAATAATTACAAATACGGGCTCAAGTTAAAAATAATTACATATA